AGATTATTATTCTTACGCAATCAGTTCTTGTTTAGTAAATCAGTCTCAAAAAAAGATCAAAAAGTCTTTTTGCCTGGATATAAGATTTTAAAACTTGGTTAGGTGGACATTTTTTGCAGTGATAGGACCAGGTTTGAATAAAAGAAAGTGTTTTTATCAACATCGTGTAATGTTTAAGTTCTAACTCTGTAAGTGCTTGCAAAATGAAGTACTCATATTTGTACTCTGTTTGAAAAAAAAAGCTGGTTTCAGGACACCCCTGTTCTGTACCTTCTGACAATTAATTCCAGGTTCATAAACTATTTGATTATGGTTTGTATTTCAATAATAACAGAATCAATAGTTCAAAAAAGCACTCCTGACACAGTCTGACTGGTGTTTAATTATCCATTTACCTACTGGATTTAGAGTGGTGATTAAAAATGGTTCTGGCARGAGCATATATCTTTTATTGGACCATCTGGTGGGTTTGTTTTTTTGGAGAGCATCGAAGCGACGGAGTGATAAAGGCTCTCTGCCAGCATCTCCAGTCCTCTGTCAGGGAGAACTTTCTGACCAATCAACTGGAAGGCTCAGGGTTACTTTACAAGCTGACAAGACGTGTTTGAAGCTCCTCATTCCTCTGAGTTTTAGAGCCACTGAGATTATATACCGCACAAGTTCTCCGCATTCCTTACAGAGAGAGCGTTAATCTGTGAACAGAGTGGGGTTATTTTAATCCCTGGCTGGAAAAAGYTGATAACAGGAGTGTGACGTAACTTTTATTTTAWTTTTTGTAGTTATGAAGTCCTCACCTGCCCTTTGTGTGGCTGTTCCAACACTGCTCCTCATCAGACTCTGTCAGATTGCCTTTGGCACAGATGTCATCTGGCAATTTGGACCAGAACCCCCTGGACTCTTTGAGCTTCTCTTTGATGTCAGTCACCTGCCATTGACCAAAACAGTAGAGAGAAAAGAAAATCAGGTTTTAAGTGTAAAAAATGCAAATAAAAAAAAAAATAAGAAAAGCAACACAAACTGGTTTCGTATTCAACCATCAGTTTTTAAAGGACGCTGGGATTTTCGACATTGATGCTGCAGCAAGTTTGTGRCGGAGCACAAAGCCTTCTGTTTTTTATTTCCATCAGGAGAGAAGTGCTGTTGGATAACAACAGTTTTTTTCCTTCTTTTTGTCCACTTCCATCCATATTCTGCTCATCTCTGATTCATACAAGACAGATTTGAGGTTTTCAAATCTGATATTTGGCATAAGTGGCAACCCCCAACTGATTCCATCTGGGCTCGGCAAGAAGTTTGAGCGGGTGATTAGCAAACAGGAGGAGGAAAAACAAAAAAACCTGCAGACTTTGTCATGCACAGAAGCACATTGTGTTTCATTTTTCTGATTCATTGTCATTTTGACACAGTTGGAAACAACCAGGGACAAAAGKGAAAATCATAATAGTCTGAATTTTAAAGTCTAAGTTGTTTTTAAGTTGCTTGTATTACAGTGATTATTGAGTCAATTGCTTCATATCTACTGTTACGTCAACAAAATCCTGTTTTTCTAATTAAAGTTTTGAGTCATCATGACTTTTTTTAAGAGGAAGTAAAGCATTCAAAGAGTGACAGGCAGGTCAAACTACAGCCATAAACTGAGCCCTGCCTTCGAAGAGTAATATATTCATTCAGTGTGTTTTGTGTGTGTGTGTGTGTGTGTGTGTGTGTGTGTGTGTGTGTGTGTGTGTGTG